CCTTGGGTGCAACCACGCGCAGCGGTTCCCGATTCGATGAGTATGACGCGGCCCAGCGGCGGGCCCCATTGGAGGATTCTGACATCACGTCCAGCGGCGCTTCTGGTTGGACGTTGGTCACTCAAAAGATCCACCCGGTGCCTATGAAAGAGGCCCTGCGGCGTGTCACCGGCAGTAGACCTATGTTTCAGAGAATTTCCTCGTTGCTTCAAGCCCCTTTTCGCAGTCGGCGCGCCCGGTGTCCTTGGCAGCGGTGAGTTTCGTGGTGCCCTTCGTAACCTCGTCGGCGGTGCGCTTCGTAGGAGAGAGAAAAGCCGGCGGATGCATGTGAGAGAAGACATCTCGGCTCTTTGAGTCCCTAAGCTGTCGGCCCCAGTGCCGAATTTGTAACGCCTCTATTTCAATGCTGTACTTAAACTTTGCCTTAACTCACCATCGTCTCGTCCGCTCGTCTGTCAGCTCTGCACAGAAGCAGTCGCGAGCTGAGTAACACACTCTACCAAACGGCTGGTGACCGTGTCGGCAGAGTTCGGAGCTATAGCGCCTTCGGGACCGTGTTGACGTTGCTCCTTTGTAATAACGTGTTGCAAATGAAGGAAAAAGAAGGGGCGTTGGGCACGAGCGCGAGCCAGGGGCGCTGGCTCACTCAGTTGATCCCTTGACCTTCAACACAGCCAGAAGGTCGGTCCGGGTCCGGGTTCCCTCCTTCATTTCTCACAATCTGCATTTTTACCAACGTGTTACTAGCTCGTTGCTCATGCTGCCGCTCTCACATATCCCTCGTCGAAATGCATCTGCCCCGACTTGTGAGGAGCCTCCCAGAATGATGAGCTAGGGTGAGCTACTCCCCTTTCGCAGAGTACTGCAACCTACATGCCGACACGTCGACCCAACCCCACAAGTTCTGATTTGGGCACCAACAACGAGTAACTCCAGTGAAATGGACAGGCCGATCACCTGCGCAGTGAACACTCTCTTCCCGGGCAATCACCCCGCCTTCGGAGAACTGTTCTCAAAGAAAGAACTTCGCCCTTTTGTTGAAATGCGACCGATTACTATATACAAAAGGGCATACCGGTGCTATCCGGGCCCTTGTAAGAGCCTAGACCGCACTGACGAGCGACTGCTTTCAAAAAATTTTACAACTGCACTGTTCCAGGCGCTACTAAACCATTTCAATTGATTGTTTTGTGGGACGCGCCAGTTTTGTGGACAGGTAACTGGCACTTTCTACATAGTCTGAGCGTGCAAAATCAAAACGAAAAATGGCCCCGCTTTGAACATCAACCTTTCGATAGAGAAATGTGAGGCCGCCCGGCTCGGCAATCAGGATCTCAAGGGCCTTAGGGTCCTATAGTTGAATGCGTTGCGTTCAACTATAGCGTTGCTTACCTATAGCGTTGCTTACCAATGGAGCCCTGAAATAGGAGCTCGACCAAGTACTTTGAGGGGAGCAGGCCAATACAGGTCCTACACAATCACCTTTCTGAAACCATTTAGTGCACACCAGATGTTTTGACTACCACCATGACTACCACCCAGCCTTCTATGCGGATTCTGAACAGAAGTTTTTTAAAGTCTTCTCGTATGAGCTTGACTGAAAGAGAGATCTGCCGCAAAGTTAAGCTAAACTGTTTATCTCAGCAATATTTGACTAGCTTCAGCTCTCATCTTGTATATTATGAGCTTTACTACTTAAATTTGATATGTGACTAGCTTCAAGTGCAAAAAAATGGTGAAGCTTATACTAGGCCACGCAAGGCCTGAAACAGCGAACCTCCACAGCTCTAAAAACTAATATATGGTTGCATCTCGGTTACTTCGAAGCGTTATCTAGAGGATGCAGGTTCTAGGTCATTGGTAGGTTTTAGCTATAGGTTATACTCGGTTATGCATACGTTGATTCTCTCCGCAGAGAGGTTCGAGTGAAAGCACAGTCACAGGTATTTCACCCCGCTCTTCACCAATCACATTCAACCACATGTGGGGCACTCCGGGCTAATCTTTTCCACTGCTTTTTAGAGCTGCCCAAATTCCATGGCGGTAGACCCAATCCCTAACCCTTCCCTTTCCTCGTGGAAGGCCGCTGTTCGGGCCACTGGCTTCGACGACCAGTTGTGGCTGGTGCACCGGGCCTGCCTATTGATGTCGGCCAGGGGGCTCCCGGACGTCTAGAGGCCTAACCACATTTACCTTAATATTTTTTTCCAAGAAAGTTGTATCCATCCATCCTAAGTCACAGACGCGACACGTATGTACATACTGCAGAGACAGAAACTCGCGCTGAAACTGAGCGCTCACACCTCTCATAGATTTATGGGCACGTCATCGTTGGCGCACGCCTTCCACCACTTTCGGGTCTTCTAACAGCCGCCATCACATTTTTCGTTCTCTAGTATTTTCTCTTTTCAGGTACTTGGGTCTTCGGATTGTCGCCGTTGCTTCGCAGCCATTTGTTGTCTTCTTCATGTTGCCTTTTTCATATTCAGTGACCAGTGATAAGTAGTACAGGGGTTTACCCAATATCTGTGGCACATACTCGTTAATGATGATGGTAACTTGCGGTGTATGCCACAGTAGAGGCTCGTACCAATTATAGGATGATGATCGTTTTCAGCGATCGACTCACAACGAACTATTTGGTTGCTGCCAAACTGCTTCATCGTGTAATCGTTTTAATGACTTGCTTGCTGGAGTGTTTCAAAGTTCCGTATTTGGCAAGAACGCTATGTATTACTGTTACGAAGCACGCCTCCGACGACGTTACGAAGGGCGCCACGAAATCTCACCGCTGCAACCACTGTCACGAAAGACGGCGACGCCAACACGGTCCCGAAGGCACCACTGCTTCGAACTCCGCCGGGAAGGTCACCAGCTGTTTGGTAGCGTAGGTTTCTCAGCTCGCGACTGCTTCAGCGCAGAGCTGATAGACGAGCGGACGAGACGACGGTGAGTTAAACAAGGTTTATGTGCAGCATATATACAGAGGCGTTACAAATTCGGCACTGGGGCCGACAGCTTAGAGACTCGAAGAGCCGAGCTCTCCCCTCTGACACATAGATCTACTGCTCGCGACGCACCGCAGAGCTTTTTTTATATGCACCGGGTGGATTCTTTGAGTAACTAAATGTCCAACCAGAAGCGCCGCTGGTCGTGAGGTCACAATTTCCCAATAGGGTCGCCGCTGGGCCGCGTCATTCTCATCAAATCTGGGGCCGCTGCACTGCACGTGGCTGCACCCAAGGACGAGTGACGTCGCCACGCATTGCGTCAGACTCGCACATAAACTATATGCATGGAACTCATACTTTATTATAATTTACTCTCTTATTTGCAACCTAATTTTCACTTAAGAGGGAAAAACTCTGCTTGTATTTGTATGGCATTCTTTATTTGAAGTGTTACTATTTAACTATTGTTGAAAAGTAAAAGCTCTACTTATGATACCATTTCCGTTCAAGTATGCTACGAATTTGGCGATACAATCAATAATGGGGCTACTTTAGCTACCTTTAGCTAGAATTCTGGCTACTTTATTATTCCACCCAGCGGCATCTGTGTGTAGTGATTTACCGTCCTTGATTCTGCCAGATTTTGTTTTCGCATTTTGAACTATAGCCTGTGAACGGCTGTAGCCCATATTTTACAAAGAGAGAGAGAGAGAAGGATGAAAAGGAATAGGCAGGGAGGTTAGCCTGGTAATATAACCAGTTTGGTACTGTGCCCAGTGGTGGGGGAATAGGAATCGGCAAGAGTAGAGAGAGACTGAGAGAGAGAGAGAGAGAGAGAGAGAGATCAGACAAAAACAAACAATAAAAAAGGACGTATACGCACGCGGAGACATGCTGAATGTTGCCGTTAGAGTTTTGAGGAGAGGCAGATTGAATGCAGAAAGCGCAGTAGTGCCTGGACAGGTTTCTTCTGTGATGCTAAGTCCTGTCTATGACAATGTACGTTCTTCTGAAACAGTCGGATCACCCACATGATCGAGTGCATTACCAAGCAACTGTTTCTCCAAACGGTACATATTTTGAACATTGGCACGGGATACGCATAATTGTTCCGCCACTGCCGCAGTAGTGGTCACAAGCTGCGGTGTCGGCATTTCGTACATATACGGAATGCATTGGTAAATGCGACACCCCACCATAACCTACAAAGTAGGGTAGCGTCACATCTGCGAAGTTCGGTAGGAACTTCAAGACTGAGTGCTGTTTCAGAAAATATATCCGTGCGTACTAGAAGTGTGGCTTGTTCCACTATGACTCGATGCGTTGGCGTGCATGCAGGCGGAGCCTTCATGCATCGTCATTTTTCGAAAGTGGAATTCATGTTTGGTTGTCAGAATGGGTAAAATGGGTCCTTCAATGATTCCGTTCATTGCCGATAAACCCACAATGAAAGCTGAAGGAAGCCACTGAAAGGTACTTCATGTCCTTTCTCGGGAATAGAGAACCTCGTCTGCACACTACTTAAATATTCATAATGCGTGATATTGCGCATTGTGTACGATGAACATAAATGTTCTAATAGTTTCATATTTCATGTAGACTCCCAATTATATTTTAGACATACAGTAATGTGTTACTGTATGCATTAGTTTTATATAATTATTATTCTTACTTTAAAACCATCTATGTGACACTATGTGTAACTAAATTTGTTTCATAGCAATGAAAGGAAATGTCAATCTTTGTAAGAACATACTGATGTTGACAAGAATGAACTTGTTTACAAAAGCTGTAACATTACTGGTTCCACATAGTGTACAAACATATCTTTAAACGCAGCAAGACTTTCTCCGAAAAAAGCTTGCAATATTTACCATACATTTCACGGTCACCGTGTAGCTATAGCCTCGCAAATGTACATAATTTTTTCCCATCTTTCTTTCCAGTCCCATCTTTCAACCACGCAATCAAGACTGGAACTCGGACTAGCCCAAACCTTCTCAGTTTTCTGGCCTTATGGTGGAAAACGCCGCAAAGCAATTCTGAGCGATGCAGCGCACCTCCACAAAGGCTTCCAGTCATGCCACTCTGGAAGACGGTGCAATCAACGCCACTTCGAACTTATCGTCCCTGCAGGCCAGTGAAATAGGAGACAGTGATGAAGAATCCATGTTCGGACCACAGTACCACAGTCACATGCGGATTGCCGTCATCGTCATCATGATCGCCTTCTCTATCGTTGGCAACTGCGTCGTCTGCTGGAAGCTCTTACGAAACCACCGCCGCAGACGCTACCAGAAAGCCCACGTCCTCTTCTTAAACCTCGCCGTTGCCGACCTGCTTGTCACAACCGTGACGATGACATCCCAGACTGTATGGGAGATCATGGGCCGCGTCTGGATTGCCGGTGATGCGTTCTGCCGAGTCTTCAAGGTTATCCAGACTTTCGCACTAGCGGCCTCCACGTACATGATCGTGAGCATCGCACTGGACAGGCACTTCGCTATTGTGTACCCGCTTGCCAGCTGCTTGGCACCCTCACACCTGGCGGCCGCCGCCTGGTTCACCTCGCTGATCCCGTCTCTGCCCAACCTCTACATGTTCCGGCTTGTTGAGGCCGGCGTGGGTCTTCAGTACTGTGCATCGGTGTTCTACACCCAAAAGGTGGATTCGCCTCTTCCTCGTCAACTGTACATGACCTTCGTTTTCCTAGGCGTCTTTGTCGTTCCTCTCATCCTGTTGGTCGTGCTCTACGGCCGAATCCTGGCCGAGATATGGAAACAGAGCTCGGCGCTGAAGAACAGACGTCAGACTGCCTCGCCATTCCCAAAGGCCAAGGTGCTGTTGTTTTTTGGTTAAATATGTCACATTTTTTTAACCATGTTCGTGTTGTGCAATGAATACAAAGACTTACAAATGACAAATGACAGTATACCTAAGAAGGGAATCGTGATTGCTCGTTTATATGTTTAACAAAAACGTAATTAAAAGCAGCAGGATAATCGATCTAAGAAAGATATAGTGGAACGTTAATTGTACTGTTTTAAGGGTACTGCAGTAATTTTGGCAAAGATGGCAAGAAAGTGGTAAAAAGAAACAAAACTTGCAGCCGACAAGAGCTGAACCTGCAAACTTCGGATAACGTGCCCAATGCACCATCTATTGAAGTAGCCGAAAACAGGGTGTTTTTAAACTCTCCATTGGGGCTAATGGTGACGCTGATTGGGGCTAATGGTGACGCCTACTACACAAACTTTATGATTTTTTATGGCGCAGTGGGTATCCAGCAAGTGTGCTTGCAGGAGTTCCCCCAAGGGTGTTTAGAAAAGGCTCTGAAAGGCCGCTCTTCTAGCTTTAGCTGTGACTGCGCTGCACCCTCCGCGCAGGCATCGTTTTCTCTTTTTTCTTTACAACTTCATGGATGATTGCAGAGCTCTCCTGAAGCCTCAAATACAACTAATGCGTTTTAATAGCAGGCAGCATCTTTCCTAAAGGCCAAACGTCATTGCACGTAAGCAAAGTGCGGGAGATCACGGCGGGCACAGGGATGATGATGATGAAAACTTTATTACTCCCAAAAGAGGGGACCGGCCAAGAGGTCGGTTACGCTGCTTAGAGGAGGTCAGCGGGGATCCCTTTGGACACCGCGGCCTCCAATGCGCGTGAGATTACCCGGCGTTGCTGTGCCGAGTCAGTGATATGCAGAAGGGACTCCCGTGTAACTTCTGTGTGAGAAGCGTCAGTGTACTGTGGGCACTTCCATGCCATGTGTATGAGGGTGGCCGATTGTGAGCAGTATTTACAGTTTGGTGTCACGAGGTGTGGGTATACCTTGCTATAAAGCCAGTGGTTGGGAAAGACACCTTTCTGAAGCGGCTGCCACAGGACGGCATCACGTCACGGCACAGGGAGAGACGCGGGGCAGCAAGCAGTCTGCGGAATATATGTCGCTATTGCATTCTCAAATGCGTTTGCAAAAAAAAAGGGGGGGGGGGGTCATCAAAAGACGATAGTTTTCTGTCTGGACAGTTAGAATAAAACGTTTATTTGATGTTCTGCCCGAAAAAATTGGCAAATACACACTGCGAGAAATAATGGTGCCATCTATCGATGATTCAAAGAAATGAATTTTGTCTAGAATGCAAAGCCACTGGTAGGTAGCAGCACCATGTATATCTTTAGTGAAACGTTGGAAACAACCTCTTTTTCGTTCATAGCGTCGCATTGCCAGCCTTACGTATTGAGCACTGCAGCCTTTTGAAATACGTATCAATGCATTTTAAAGATAAAGTAACACACTTATAATGAACGAATGATGACAACCTCTTTACACACTACCTAATGCTTATATATTGATGTAGTGCCCAAATATGCGTAGCACTAGTATTTGATTGACAATTTTCACCGATATGAACGCAGCAAGGAGGTAAAATGGTGGTCTAGCAACAAGAGGTTAATCTTTCGCTCTAATGGCTGAGTCGATTCACAGACAGACAAACAAAAAGACATTTCTGCGTCGAAGTGTCCCAGGAAAGGCTATCGTACATAAAAGCATGGACAGGCGCAGTCCACGCTCTTGGTATGAAGTCAGTATGATGTCACTTTCGTGGCCATCACCGCACCGAAAGCTACGTATCTACTTGCCATTTACAGTGAACTAGAACCAGCTATCTTGTCAATAGAGGGTTTAGCAAAACGCGTTTCTCGATGATAAGAAGTGTTTTTGCTATCATCATCATCCGACCAATTGTCAACAGCAATGCTTGAACCAGTGCTTGTTGGCAAGAACGTATTTGCCTGAATTTTTTATATTGGTGGTGCTGCAATTTTCAAGCTCCTGTGTTCTCACTAGTTGATGAGTTGAAAAAAAAATGTTCAGGATTGCTACCTGGGACATTTGTTATTGTGGAAGTGCTTTTTTAAAATTTATTTGCTGTCAGCATGCACCTCATGTATCCCGACGTCTATAGTTCTAATCTATGCCAGTACTGTACCACTAGAGCCATTCTTGACCATATCCTATGGGAGTGTCCAGCATTATTGAGAAATTCTGGGGTCGTGGCTTCTAATGAAGACCTTCGGGCGCGTTGGCGGTCTGTGCTGCTCAGTTCAGGCCTTTGGATGATCCAGCAGGCCAACGAAGCTGCCGGGAGACACGGTCTCTCCATTAGCTCCTAGGTGGGAGCCCAGCCCAGCAATCTGCCGGAAATTAATAAAGTCTACCTCTCTCTCTCTCTCTCTCTCTCTGTCGAGAGTAAACAAACACATTAAACTATGTGAACGTGGGCCGGAGATGCCAGATGTCTTAGTTGTCGCGATAATTTCTTTCTAGAGGGCTTTCGTTATCGAAGGGTTTAACATTTCTTGGGTTATTTCTTTATTATGCAATTTTAAAACGCTTTATGGGCGCATAGTATGATGGTATAATAACGTGAAGTGCAATTTTTTATATGCCAACTGCATGATTTATGGGCGCTCTCGTCGCCAGGAATGCTTTCTCGCTCTCGCTTAATGCGGGAGTTTCTTTAGGATGGCATTGATTCCTTTCATTATGGTAGTTGCTTAGTCATGAGTAGATGTCATGGCCCGTTAAGGGCTAATTTTTAGGACTCTCCTCTTTTTCGAGTCCTCGATCGCTCAGGCCCTCGAGATTTAACTCGCTAGTATTGGGAGGTGGGTATTGCGAATGTTGTACATGCTGACTTTCAAGACATTGTTGTATGTCGTGAATCGCCTAATGCGATAAGTTTCAGTTGTAAAGTTACGTTACGCGAATCCGAACGTACCAACTCATCCCAATTTTTTGACCTCCCATCATTTAACCTTACATTTAGTTGGCAATTAAACCGACGGCCATTCCCTTTTTGATGCGAAGCAACTCTTTGACACACGTGTGCGATGCCGTACGTACGTGCGTCCGCACTAACGCGCTGCAACGCTGTCCCCTCACCACAGGCGTTGGAGTAGGGCCAGGTATGTCACCCCGCAGTTGCGCGTTGATGTCACGCTCCCCTCACACGATTCCCTCGCAGTTGCGCGCTGACATCACTCTTTCCCTGAGCCGCATGGATGGATGGATGTATCCGGCTGCGCCCTTTAGATCGGGCGATGGCGCACGCCACCTAGCCATAAAGTTAAGTACCATCATTGTGTGCTTATGGATTGAATTGCACTTGCGCCTCGATTGTAGCCACCAATTAATTAGTCTCATCTCGGTTATTCCTACCCGTTTAAGGTCTATTTTGCCTTCGCTGTCGCAAAACCCCAACGCTTTGAAAAATTCGGCGCCATTATCTTCGACTATAGGATGGAGCCTCTTACAGAACAATATCAAATGTTCAGCCGTTTCCTCCTTTCCACACGCACTACATACCGTGTATGTGCCTTCGTATTTTGCTAGGTGCGTCTTGGTCCGCAATAATCCCGTTCTATCCTTGAAAAGCAGAGAAATACCCCGATATTTATCGTCGATCTTTTCCCATGCAATTCTCTACTTAAAAGTTCGGTAGGTTGCCAGTGAAGATTTCGTAAGCATTCCCCTCTTCAACATGACCCTCTCTGTTTCCTTCACCTTCTTCTTAACCAATGTTTCCTTTTGGCTTGGTATTCTGCTGTTGTCTAAATACTTGCTTGACAATTTTCGAGTTCATTTTCTCCCTTTAGTATTGACATTCTTCATGTACAAGTAAATGAAAGCTTTCCTAGCCCAATGCTCCTCTCCCATTTTTCTCGATCGCTCCTCCAATTCTATCTTGCTGCTAGCTTCGCAGCACTCAGATGCAAATGATGCCCATCCCATGTCGCCCTGTACGCCCTAATTTGGGGTATTCCCGTGTGCTCCCAAAGCAAGCCTACCTATTCCACGTTGCTTAATTTTCAGTCTTGCTTGAACTTCTAATTTGTTGCACAAGACCGCATTGCCGAACGTCGAACCCCAGACCATGACGCCTTTCCAAATCCCTCTCACAACGTAATACCTATTGTAGTTCCACAGTGCCCTATTTTTTATCACAGCTGCATTCATGTTACCCTTAGTCATTACGTATCTTTCGTGCTCCCTTAGATACTCAACCCCGTTATTTATCCATACGCCCAAGCATTTGTATTTATACATTATTTCTAGTGTGACTTCCTGTATCTCATGCTCACTGCTTTTGTTCTCATTAACTACCGTTTTTTCCCTGGCGAACCTAAAATTTAACCTATCTCTCTCATCACCACAGATGTCTATGAATCCCTGCAGATCTTCCTTGTTGTCGGCTATTATACTATATCATTTGCATACATCAATGCTGGTAGTGACTGTTCCATGTGTTTTCCTTGCTTGGCAAAAGAGAAGCTGAATCAGAGTTGACTCCCCTCTAATATGGCTTCTAGTCCCTAATGATACAGCATAAATAACAAAGGTGACAAGGGACATCCCTGTCGAAGCCCGCACTGTATCTCTATAGTTTCAGACACCTGTTCTTCCCATTTGATAACTACATTGTTGCTTTTATAGATATCCTTTCTAGTGTATCCAGTATTTCCCACATGTCTTTTTGAATCACGCTATCGTAACCTCCCTTGATATCTAGAAGTGCGAGCCAGAGGGGCCTGTGTTCTTTTTCCGCTATTTGAATTCACTGCATCAATGAAAACAGATTGTCCTCTAACCTGCTTCGTTTACGGAACCCATTTTGTTGTTCTCCCAGGACCCCCTCATTCTCCACCCATGTCTGTAGTCTTTCCTTGACTATCTGCATCACCAGCCTGTAAACTCCTGATGTCACTGTTATAGGACGGTAGTTGTTTATATCGGCTTTGTCTCCCTTTCCTTTATAGATCATACTCATCCTCCTTAGTTTCCACCCATTGGGAGCTTCACCATCTATTGTTGCTTTGCTCGCTTACTCTCTTAATGTTTGCTTAGAGTTTGGTCGTAGTTTCTTTATTAGCATGATTGGAATGCCGTCAGGACCTGTTAATGTGCTGTAAGGAACTCTTTTCTCTGCCCTTTCCTACTCTCGTTGTCTCAGTGAAGCCACCGAGCTGATTGGTCCATCCTCATCTGGTACGGTGCATGCAGCGATTTCTTGGTGCTTAAATTTTTCTGTCATTATTGTTTTTGTATACTCCATTGCCTCATCCCCTTCTAGTCTGACCCCTTGAACTGCAGTTATAAACATATGTTTCACGCTTGTCTTAATACTCAGAGAATTTCGATTGTTCCAAAATTTTGCAACTGCCTTTCTATTCTTTTTGTTTACTTCTGCCATCCATTGGGCCCCCTTTCTTTTTATCTTTTCAGTGATCGAATCGGACGCTTCCCTTCTGTAGCTCAAAAGTTATACCATTTTCTTTTGACATCATCTTCCGGTTTACCCTCTGTTTAGCATACCTGTGTTCTCTGCAAGCTTCCTGACGTCTTACTATGGCTCCCTTAACTTCCTTATCTCACCAGCTCTTGGGTTTGTGTTTGCTTTTCCCGGTTGATTTGACTCCTACCTTAGCAAGCTCTAAGTCAAACAATCGAGTTAGATTTGTGTACGTCCACTCTGTTTTAGTATCCTCGGTGATTTTTTTCTCAATCTCTTTGGTTGCTATTTCTATTTGCCTTTCTGAATAAATATTACCGTGCGGTTACTCGTAATGCCACCTTTCTAATTTCATTTATCTTTCAAAGCTCAGCTTGACACGTTTGTGATCACTGCGTAAGCTTCTGGACCCACATTCATCTATGTTCTTCACCCTTAGCCGATCATACATCCCATGTCCCATTGTTGCGTAATCTATCGTCTACAGCAGCCTTGCCACCTCTCATGTTATCTGCCCTTCGCATTTCTCAGTGCTGCTACAAATAAATGAATCATGCCTTTCACACATATCTATTAGCATTTTGCCTGTTGGTTCAGTATATAAGTCCATATCTTCTATATGGGCATTCATATCTCCTAATATAATTACGTCGCGCTCTATTCCTAATTCATCAATGTCATTTCTTATGCACTGAGCCATTTGTTATTTTCCTTTCTGGTTTTTGCCCCTATCCACAAGTATACAAAACCCAGGAGCGCCATTTGCCCTGCCACTTTCCCTCTTAGCCATAACTGTTCCTTGCACTCCTGCATGACCATTTGCCATTCTGTACTTTTATGAATGAATGCCCCAATACCCCCCCCCCTTTCTGCTGCCTTCTGTTCTATTACAATATTTGCACGCGTAGTCCGGATTGTTTGGGGGTTGTTCCATGTCCCTAAGATGTGTTTTTTTCAAAACCATATACCATCGGCCTCTCCTCTCTTAGGTGTTCTTCTATCTCTACATACTTCAGCCTATTCCTGCCACCCTGCATGTTAACATACCCTACATCTGAATTGCCTCGGCCCTCATGGCTACGTCGATTTCTGCCCCGGACTCTACGTGTCTTAGATATTGGTGCCACTTTGGAATCGTATCTGTTTATACTACCTGTCAAAAAGTCCCCCTGGTTGTTTTCCTCGTTACTAGCTATCCTGCACCCCGAAGGGGCCGCGTGCCCCACAGAAAAGCTACTGCGCGTCCTGCAACTCGCCACCTCACCTCATAACCTAGCCCCCCATTGAAGTGAATTCTGTCTCCTTGAAAACCACCCCACCTATGCACCTCTCTGCTTATTTCCACCACCTCAAAGCCTTTCTCTCGACTCATCCGCCCTATCTCTTGGTTTGCGTTTACAACCGCTATTTGCAGGTCGCTGTCACGCACCGGTACCTCCGATATTGTACATATCACTACCTTTACCTGAGGAGAAATCGCACGCATGCCATCAACCCCTTTCGCCAGTGCGTTCGCTAGTCCTGCCGTATCTTCATTTAGGACATCGTTTAAACCACCTGCAATTATCACGACGTTTCGTCCATCAGCTGTAGTTTTGAGTTTTGCGCTCGCTTGCCTCATGACTGCTTCCAGCTTGCGTCCTGATAACGTCCCTACTGCAACCCTCTTGTCAACTTTCACCCTCTCTTTGATTGCTTCTGCGCATCGATCTAAATTCGAGTCCCCGGCGATTATCACGTGCTGTGGCTTTTCAGCTGGGGAGTCCTGCACGTGGGGGTTACTTGCACCTGTGACGCCAACTGCTTTGTCCCCTCTCAGCCCCACCACTACTTCACTGAAGCTGGGTCTTGCGGCCATTGAACCGGCTGAACCTGTTTTTTCCGAACTTGCTTGCTCTTTCTTCTGCGCCGTTCTGGTTACCGGTGCCTTACCGTTCTCTCCGTCGGTTGCTCCTTTGCTCACCTTCACTAGTGCCTCCTCGGCGGACTTGAGCCTTTCTCCCATATCTCTCGTTTTCTCTTGCTGTGTCGCCAACGCGGTCTCTAGCTCGGTGATTCTCATCAGCAGTTTACTCTGCGCAATCGTTATTTTCTTCATTTTTTCCTCGACTTCACATTGCCTACACTTGGCGTCAGCTTCCTCTCCATTCGCGTCAGCACTTGGGTCAATTTTCAAATCCACCACGCATCTTGAACCTGTTACAGCCTTTTTAATAACGTCTTTTTGACCCCAATTGTCCTTCTGAATTGTCCCAATCGATAATTACAAAACACGACGTACGACGAACCCTGTTCTACAAAGAAAAAAGAAAAGTCTAAGCTCTACTACAAAAACTTGCGTGTTCGGTGTACGTGCACCTCCCCCAAGGGGTGGCAAGGGAAAAAACACAAACACACACGCATACAAACTAGTAAACACCTGGTAGCTGACCCCCGAAAAGCCGTACAATGTAAAGGTGCTACAAAGGTTTTAACTGCTGCCTTAATAACTATAAAAAAAAGCTAGAAACATGCAAAACCACTTATCGGCGCAGTCGATCGGGAGCGCTCAAAAAACACGTACATCCACCATGCCAGTCCGAACTGAACTCTCGCCGAGCAGCACGCTCCCCGCAGCGCCCGCCGTGGCCGGCTCCTCCACCAGCTCGCAACACACTTCCCTCACTCTTCACTCTCTCCACCGCCCGCAACGCTCGACTGCACGTCGAATGGACATACTCTTTCGGCTCATTTATCTGCAACGAATTTTTCACGAAACGCAACACGCTTCCTGTGTCTTCGCGTTTTAAACAAACACTTACTTTAATTAACACTACACAGAGTTTCACTTCAAACCGTTTTTCCAACACCCGCTTCGACGCCCGTTTCAACTGCGTCATCGCCATGCGCACCGCTGCTGCTTCGCATCCCATCAGGGTTCCCTTCGGGGAGAGAGTCCATAATCTTTGTATAGTAGGCATTAGCATATACAGAAATGCCTCTGTGTGTATGCTGGTCTCAATCCTGAATTTCTTGTGTTTTCATCCCTCCTTGCAGGTGAAGACCATCAAGCTCACTGCCGCCATATTCATCGCATTCCTCGTAACCAACGTTCCATACATGGTGCTAGAAATGGTCCTCGCCTTTGCTGGCACCAGCGCCTCTCTCGATCAGAACATGGTGGCGCTCTTCGGTGTGATCTCGGCCTCGAACAGCACCGTAAATCCTTACATATTTCTGTTCTTTCAAAAGAGCAGTGGAAGCAGAAAACGGAGGCGTCTCGTGATGCCCTTCCGCAAGGACGCAGTAGCTGAGCTACCCAGGGGCCACAGTGGCTGCGGTAACGGAGGCGTCGAGTTGTGCACCATTCAGGGAAAGCAGCACTCACCGGCTGCGTACAGTCTCACACCGAGGAAGAGCAGCGCAGTCTCTTCACTGAGTCAACCCATGGAGCTCAGCAGCTTATGACGGATTGCCTACTTCCGCCACTTCCGCAAGGCTTCACGCGCACTGAACGGTGAGAGACAGTGATTCCGGTGCGTGGTTCCGTGATTCGTGAAGCCGTGATGACTGTATACACAAACTGTGTAGATCTGCAACCGGTATACCAACGCGTACACCGTATAAGAGCCGTATGTCTGCGTGAATTCTTAGTTTATATGTAAGGGAGTGTATTTGACTGCGTTTTATGGACAGGCACATTTGATATGAAATCGAGAACATACTCTGCTTCGACGAGCTCCTCCGAAGCGTTACTCGTCAAGCATGCGTCCTGTGCATTCCCAATTTTTGTAAATACATTGAATTCATTACTTTCAAAGAACGTTCCACGTTTTTGTATACCATTGTTAAATAAACTGTCTTTCAATACACATGGTGGTGATGTCATTTAGTGAGTTCTGGGTCATAAGAAGGGAAAAAAAACACCAGGCCTACGTGGAAGTCGCAGTACAGTCAGCGCGAAAGATGTAAGAGCGGCCTTACAGAGCATTTTTTAAATATTGGTTTGGTAAGTGCTGCAAGCACACTTGCTGGGTTACCACTACTGGATTATTCATAATAATATTTGGGTAGTAAGCCGGCGTTCACTATACTATGTTTCACTATTTTTCTAAGAAGCGTGCATGGTATCTGCTAAATCCTTGCAAGGAATTTCGTGCCAATTGTTCAGGCAGTGGCCGACGACGATGAGAAATCATGCTTGAAGAGGGTATCTGACACAGTTAATAGGTGATCAAGAACAGGCTTTTGTAATAGTTTGGAGGATTGGACGACCCACCCGTTACGCTTTTCGGATTGTGAGACGCCTGCTTGTTCTTTTGCTGTTCTAAAACGCTTTATTACTCATATTAACGCGATTCCTTTCCCGACATCAAGCCTAAGGCAAGTTTGCGAACAAGTCCCTATCAACGGTATCGCTCAGTGATAAAATACTAATCTGGCACACAGCGGACTCAGGTTTGAGCCCTACTGTGTCATTTGTACTAGTTTGTTTATAGGCGAAGCTCTTTAGGACGCTGGTCTGTCGCTCCTCCATATGTATGGAGTAGTACGTAGCCATTAGTGGCACATACCCGCTCTAGAGCGGGTATGTGTCACAGGGGATGCGAGCTGGGCTGAGGTGGTACTTTCAGTGTTCACTAGATGGACGCACGGACGGACAAAGAGGCGGACGGGCAGACAGGCTAGCAGATAGATGCGCGGACGTACGGACGGAAGGACGTACGGACGGAAGGACGCACGAACAGACGGACAGATGGATGGACGGACGGAAGCACGGATGGTCGCGCGGACGGACGGAAGCAAGAACGGACGGACGGAAGCACGGATGGGCTGATGGACTCTTCAACCCACTCATTGTCATTCACTCCCTGGATATGCTGTGATTTTTTTGTGTGTGCCATAGTGGTTACGGACACCGGTGGTGGCGGCGGACAACTACGGCGCTGTTCGTGACCCGAGTTGTGATCGCACAGCAGGTTTCACTGTAAAAAAATCACTCGTATTGTATAGCAAGCGTAAGTCAAGCTAACTGCTGTGCGACGGGTTTACGGTAAGTATACTCAAATACACTAGCCGAAGTGAAACTAATTTCATAGACACGCAGTGTACTGGCCCGTACATCAGTTCATCAGTTAAAAAGTGAGCACAAACATTATTTTTTTCCTTACAGCTACCCGTTTTGATTGTGTGGAGCACTTTATGGGGGGGGGAGCTGTCTTATACTTTGATGGCATCCTGTTGTCGTCGTTTGACGAAACGCAGGCAAACCCGCATGTTGCGTAACCAGCTGTAACATTTGTTTGTTTGTTTGTTTGTTTGTTTCTTTGTTTGTTTGTTTACTTGTTTGTTTGTAGCCTGGAATCTATGGCACATACCAACTCTGGTGAACTGTAACATACTGAGCGCACCTCTTATCATGGCCCTTACCCAATGTAGGGGATTGACCGAGTGTTGGTGATTATTTTTTCCTTTTGTTGTTTTTTAGTGTTCTTTCACAATACGTCTCGTATAGGCTAGGAATAGATAATATAACAAACTTAATTACGAAATATTGGTATTTAAATGCTTGAAAAGAGGAAGAATTTAGCTGAATATTTTTTTAGTCTGACTGATAAATTTCTCTATGGCATAGTAAGCGTCCCTGTGACTAGCCCAGAGGAGAGACGCCAAATGACGGAACAAATGATTGGTATCGCGATTGAGAAGTCTTGTTTTCGAGCACCTTGATGATGAATCATGGAGAACTTGAGGAGCCCGGGCTGTCGTACACTGTCGCATGCTGTCGTCGCTTGGCCTATCGCAGGCGAAACTACGTATAAAAATTGAAAAAGAAGAAACAAGCGAGGAACAAAGAGAGAGAGAGAGAAAGGAAATAGGTTTAGAAATAGAAAGAAACACCATTTAAAAGAAAAATACAGAAAAACTAGAAAACAGAACAAGAAAGCAAAACAGAAGGAACGAAAGAGAGAACCAAACAGAAGCACACAAGTCTGCACAGCTACGCCCTTCCAGAGTTGTTATCACTATTGTGAAGTTACCCTATTTCTTTTTTTTTCTCCGCCTTCAATCGACACAATATGTCTATGGAAAATGGGTGGGAAATAAGGTACGTTTATCTTGTCTTGCGCCGACAAACGCAGTAACGCACGTTCTTAGAGAAAGATAATGAAAGGGAGGAAAGTTGTAAAGCGAGAAATGAGCACTAGGTATAGAGCCTGGGGCTTCTCATGGGCATACCAAATGGACGATGCTGACAATCACACTCATCACGCGGGGGGCACTAAAAACAAACATTGAGGCGTTGTTCGTTTTAGTGAACCCACTGCACTAGCGTTCGTTGAAGAACCTTCACCAGGGTTTACCTTGGCTAAGTATGAAGGTGAAACTCTTGCACACCGGCCTTCTCTGGGCTAGTACCTGGAGAAGTAGCTGTTGCTTTAAAAACAGTTCATACGCTTTCTGCGTTACCCTTTTACACTGCAAGGGAGAACATCAGCCTCGAAGTAGTTATAACTTTATTCACTATGCTAACATTTTTATGAGCGAAGCTCCTCTTAGTCTAACCTTGCCCTGCGTCAGGCGTAACCGAGAGAGGGAAACGAGGAAAAAAAAAGGAAGGCGGTATCTCCCGAATAGTATAATAGGCGGCGCTGTCATATAGAAGTACATACAAACTGCAGTTGAGTGAGGATATTCTAGATGGCGCTGTACCGCTACTCTCCGATTGGCTGCTGCACGGGTTGTGCCTGGGTGCGCGAGGAAGGAGTGCCTCTCTCAGTCTCCTGGATCGTCGGCGTACGTGGCACATTGTTAGTGGGGCATGGACGAATCAAAGCGGCGGACGCACAGCGCTGCGGCGGCTCGTGCTCATGGCTTCGTTGGTGGGGCATGCACGAAGTGGAGTGGGCCTCAGGGCTTGTCCACAGAAGTGCATGCATGGACACACAGACAGACGGACAGGACGCTTCGCCCCCTCATCATCATTCACTCCGTGGATATGCTGTGATTTTTTACTAAAGGCCAAACAAAGGGGAAGTGGTGAAAGGTGGGTTAGTTAGGGTAAATATCTTAAACTTGAAAAAAACAACGCCCGTCTTAGCGCTGCTTTTTGCTGCTCAGCCATTTTTGTGGCCCGACTTGCCATCCATCTACTGCCTAAAACAAGAGTTACAAGGCTTGAAATAAATGAAAACTCTACTAACAAGATCTAAAATACTGTACGAACAAGCTCTAAAATAACTAGAAAGATACCCAAAACTTATTCGCCATTGTTAGCCTCAAATCACGAAAAACACTTCTGAATCAGTCTGGCTGATACCCACACCGCGCAAGAGAGAGCGCCACCACCGATGCAATCGCCATAGGAATCGCTGGGTTGCTCGTGCAACGTACTTCCCGAGGTTAAGCGGTTGTTGAGCTGCATTTAGCGCAGGATTTAGAATCACGACGAGGCCTAAACGCCATTAGCGCATGATTTACCATGGCACTTGTGACTAAACCTAAACCTACAGCTGAACTATACTTTAGCACTACACTAACCGTGGAACTAACGCTGAATTCGTGCAGAATTAGCTTTACATTAAGCGATGGGTTGCTATTCACGACGTGTCCACCTTGTGCACATGTTCAATGGAGGGCATTCTATTACTCGAAAGAGCAGCCATCCTTGACATCATGGTGCTGTTGACTACGTCGCACACTGAACCCACTATCAAAATCCCACCTTTAAAAAAAACTGATTGAAATGTACTGTAAGAGAACACTTAAACAAACTTGACAAGTTTGAACTTGCGTTCAAAAATAAAAAATTAAATAGCGCCGCAAACGTAAAGCCTACCCGGCGGGTTGTTTACGTTACGGAAATTTTTGCGATCTGTAAAGATCTGCGCGTACGCAAATTTTATCAGTAACAAGGTAACGCAAATTGTATACGTACAAGCTAAAAACCCCTGAGCCGCTCCTGTGACTGCCGACTGCTTTTGCTGGCTCACGGCCGGCGTGCCGTCGCCTCTGGTGGCAGTGAACACGACACGCTAAGCAACGAGACACTGTACTCTACGGCTCCCAAAAGCACATTTTTAATGCCTATTACTCGCTGCAGTGGTTTTTGAACGAACTGTTATGCTATTGTGTTAGTGAACAGTTGTCTCACAATTGCCTCTACAAAGTTTATTGTGCATATTGTGAGTACGTCATTGGGCTAATAAAACAAGTTTGCTTCCACAATCTTCGTTTTTTTTTTGCTTCATTTCTTTCTCGCGTGCAATTATCGAGACACAATTAAGGCGCAGCAAAATTGCATATTAGTAACGGCACGTAAAAGGTCAGCAGTAAAGAAAAATTTCCATATCGCGCCATCTAGGGAAAATGTGCGACGTCGCTACCGCTTGCGGTTGTGACGCCATATTTTATTTTAACTTTTGTTTGCTCTTAGTTCTCCCCTCCTCACGTAGATGGCGACGCTGGCAATGAGCCGCGGAGTACTGGATCCACGGTCTTCTATGGAAGCTACGCTACCAGTGTACATATACCTTGCT